GGTGAAATTAGAAGACTTACTCTGGTGGAAGCCACTCAACCTGCTGTGAAGGTGAAATTAGAAGACTTACTCTGGTGGAAGCCACTCAACCTGCTGTGAAGGTGAAATTAGAAGACGTACTCTGGTGGAAGCCACTCAACCTGCTGTGAAGGTGGAATTAGATGACTTACTTTGGTGGAAGCCATTCAACCTGCTGTGAAGGTGGAATTAGAAGACTTTGGTGGAAGCCACTCAACCTGTTGTGAAGGTGAAATTAGAAGATCTGCTTTAGTGGAAGCCACTCAACCTGCTGTGAAGGTGGAATTAGAAGACGTACTCTGGTGGAAGCCACTCAACCTGCTGTGAAGGTGGAATTAGATGACTTACTTTGGTGGAAGCCATTCAACCTGCTGTGAAGGTGGAATTAGAAGACTTTAGTGGAAGCCACTCAACCTGTAATGAAGGTGAAATTAGAAGACTTACTCTGGTGGAAGCCTCTCAACCTGCTGTGAAGGTGAAATTAGAAGATCTGCTTTAGTGGAAGCCGTTCATCTTGCAATGAAGAAAATTGAAATTCTTTTTAAAGATGGAATCCATCAAGGTTGCTATTAGACACCTCAAAATCTCTTCCAAAAATTTCAGTATAATTAGAACAGCAATATCCAACTAACACTATGATGAGAAGACATCATTATTAATTATATAAAAAACTACTCGTACTGGATGAGGATTTGTATACAAAACTAAACAAGACAGACAGGGGGGGGGGTTCTATAGTATTTATGAAATTAGGACTATTCTAAATATATATAGTTCATATTCAGCTTTTATTTTTTTCGAAACAATCCTTAAGTCTTTGATTCATTATCTTTGACAATACAAGATAGTCTCACGTATGTACCTATGATGTGGCCCACTTACTGAACTTTTCCAAGTAAATTCACAGTTTATTGTCGTATTAGCCACTTTTTTCATATAATTTTTCTGAATGTAGCAAGGTTTTTGTAATTTGAATATTTATTATTTTGTGTTACAGGTTTGATCTTTAGGGGTCATTGTTGTTTTTATTTAATGTAGGACAGGATTTGTTATGAATGATGATAATCCAAGGTTATAAGAGAATTTTTGTTCGGTTCATAAGAGATTGTTTAAGTAACATCTGTAGCTAATTACTAAATCACAGAGATATTACTATACAAGTAAAAAACTAAAGTAACAAACAGATAGTCGCAACAACATCCTCATTTAGATAAGCCAAGTTAGGCCTCTAGTGAGATTGATCATAAACATACTTAAAATCATGATTATTTTAAAATTATCAAGTTTTAATCTTCAATAGGCCTGTCAATCAGTAAAAAAAAATCATAAAGCTTAGTACGTAACAGTTATAATGTTTGGAGCTTGTATAGCCAGTTTATTTTTTTTAGTTTAGTTCAGAGGATGGGACAGCTGAGATGGACCAGTAGGTCCCTTGTTGTCCCTAAACACTATGTTATGTTTTTAAGAGACGACCAAGAATCTAAATATAGAACACAGAAATTACTTCATTAAGCCTTAAAAACTTAAACCTCGTCGTTTCCTCAGAATGATGTACTAGATCTCTTTCATCTGTAGAATACTTAAAGTAAAGTGTATTTGACATAACTAAAACTTGCTAATGTGTTATAAAGTTGTTGTTTTTAATGTCAGCTCTGTATTTCAGGAGTATTTTCAGAATGTTTTAGCAAAGCCACTGCCTGAAAGGTGTCGGGAAATCCAACATATGATTCAAGAATTATCTATAAAGGTATATTGGTTTTGTTTGAGAAGCTTGTACATGTATTTCATAGAAATGGTTCATGTGTTATCTTACATATTGATTAAGTTTCTCAATTTTATATTACATCAAGTTGTTTTTGAACGTGTAGCTTAGGTTATTGATATCCAGAGATAATTTCAATATCTACTTTGTGGGGAATATAATTAGTATCCCAAAGTTAATGTACAGGTCAAAAGGTTTTTGTTTAGTCTTTTATTTGCACAAGAAACCAAGTAGATTTTAAGATTTTAAAAGTTTTATTCAAGAAATGTATACTTTTAGAACATTAGTGTGCTTTCATTTGATAGTTGTGCTGTAAACTGGTGTGGCACATTGATCTTTTGATGTTTCCGAAGGTTTGTTTCTCTGTTGACAGGTACAAGTGACCTACAATGCATAGACAAACAATAAATAAATGTAAAAATTTGAAATATATATACATAAATGATTGTTGCATAGGCTAAAATAAAAAACATGTTAGGATCATCTATTTATCAATTAAACTTTATTCTTGTTAAATTATTATTAAAGATGATAGAGCTGAGCAATTAGTGGTATTTGCTAATCGATTAATTGGCAGCCCCATTAATCGATTGCATTCAAACCATGGTATGTACAAGCAACAATAACAATTGACGTCTCTCTAGTTGGCAGTTCAAAATTACCGACATTCACAAACAAGTTTGATGGCAATAGAGATTGAAACTGAGGCCCTTGGCTCATGAGCTTTCTGCCCCATCTCCAAATTACCAAAATTGGGAAAACTTTTGAAGTAATAAAAAGCAACAATAACTTACAGGGCACAGAAAGCTCACTATATAGCTGTGCATTTAACAAAAAGAAACATAATAGCAATCAATTTCTTGAATAGTTGTAGTAATCAACAGTAATAATAATCAGAAACATTAATTACGATTAATTGATTTTTTTTTTGGCAACTTGTTTAATCACAATTTCAATTAATCAATTGCTGTAATAATCAGAAACATTTATTTCGTTTATCTGGTTATTTTCGTGACAATCGATATGATTACAATTTTGATTAATCAATAAATGGGATAATTAAAAACAGTAATTATTGGAAACCCTAATTTAGATTAATAGATTTAATCTTAATTTCAAATTAATCAATTGTTTTACATTACACTAGTCTATGCATGTAATCATTACTCATTGGTAATTGATTAAGTCACCCATCTAATAGATGCGTATATGAAAATTTAAAACAGCCAAACCTGGATTCTCATGTCACTCCTTACTGCAGAAGCAGGATAATGTTTACTGTAAGTACAGTGAAATTTCTTTGTAACAGTAACAATTCTCTTCTGAAAGTTCCCAAAAGCTAAACACCCTATATGAACACACGTCATTGCATGCTGGGAAATTAACTGTTTTTACTGTGTTATAATTGTGAGTGCATCAGAATTTGATACCTTCCTCTATTTCAGTAATAGAAGTCGAATAAAGTGTGAAGTAAAACAAATGAAGTGATAACGTACATCTTTCATATTTCCAGGAATTACACTTTCTTTTCCCATGCTTAGTAGAAAACATTTTTGGATTTGGAATACAAAATGGATGGGAACTCTGGAAAATCAGTCGTAACGTTCATCGTCGTGATTTTGAAATTCTTCATTTTTTTCTTTCACCAGAGGGCCACGAAGGCACATTGTTTTGTCTCATCTATAAACTTCTAGAAGATGGCCTTTGCAACTATGTATTTCCAGTTTGTTGTCTTCCTGTAAGTAAATTTTTAGAAGTTTTAATATCTCTTAGAAGACTTACTTGTTTTGGTTTTTATGCAAATATAATATGCAACCTGTAAAATGGACAAAAGAATTTGTAATCTTCACATGAACATGAGTGTGCGCTCCAACTTGCCAGAGTCTGAGTCACACTGGTATCAATTCGCAGATGTATCGTGAATAAATACTTTTGTAACACATCTGATGTTTTCTGTACAACAAACTTGTACATTTTACTAAAAACTTGTGACATTTTTGTGTAGATATTCGTAGAAAATTTAGAATTATTGTCTAAAAATTCCTCCAATATGCGGTTGGTCAAATGAACCAACCCTTGTGTATTCTTTTAATTTGTCGTTTTTACATTCGTTTGTTGAAGGACCTTTTTGTATTGTTTGTTTGATAGCTATATGGAAAAAAATCATCTTCCATAAGTATCCACTTATTGTAATAACAAACAAATAATGGTAACAGTGTGAGTAATGAAACATATTGGAGTTAGTGACTCTGCAAACCACTTATTAACAGTTTTTAGTGTGGTTTCTTGTAGCTCGTGTCATCTCGCACATTTGAAATATGTCAATCAAATTTGATGTGGTGTCTTGTAGCTTATGTTATCTTACGCATTTGAAATATGTCAGTCAAATTTGGTGTGGTGTCTTGTACCTTATGTCATATTGCACATTTGAAATATGTCAATCAAATTTGGTGTGATGTGTTGTAGCTTATGCCATTTTGCACATTTGAAATATGTCACTATTTGGTGTGGTGTCTTGTAGCTTATGCCATTTTGCACATTTGAAATATGTCAATATTTGGTGTGGTGTCTTGTTGCTTATGCCATTTTGCACATTTGAAATATGTCAATATTTGGTGTGTTGTCTTATATCATCTTACACATTGAAAATATGTCAATCAAATTTAGTGTGGCATCACATATAAAACATGTTTATCAAGTTTGGTGTGGTGTCTTGTGACTTATGTCATCTTACACTTTAAAGAATGTCAAATTCAACATTGAGCAAATATAGTAATAATTAAAAACCCTAATTTTGATTAGGTGATTATTTTAACGAGTTACATCATTACTAGATTAAGCAGAACAAACTTGAATTGATTGAAAATAATGAAAAGTCATGATGCCAATAATCAATTAGTTAATTATTTTCACCACATGAATCAACTTGATCTTAGTCTCTTTTACCGAATAGCTGGAGTAATCTAAAACGGCAGCGATCGGAAACGTTAATTTCAGTTAGTTGATTATTAATATAAGTAATCTATCTTATTGCCAAGCTGTATACACTAGTGATGTGATTTTCTTGTTTATAAGCTAGAAGACGCGTATCCTGATTAAGCATTGCACTTAATAGTTTTGTAATAATTAGATTTAATGTTCATACACTTGTCCTCGGTTGCAGAAAAACGAGCTTTGTCATTAACATTATTTAATCATATTTTTTTGTTTGCAGTTTTTTAAAATATAATTTAATTTCATTATTTAAAATAGAGGAACTGTTTATAAAATGGATCTTGTGTTTCTGAGATGCTGGAATTTGGGTTTGCTTCTCGTGGTGGATTAAATGCAGATAGCCCATTGTACAACTTTGCACTAAAACAAATTAACAATTCCAAAGATAACATTTCCTCTTATATTATGCTTATTAAAAGTAAGCCAGAAAAAGTACTTGAAACTTAAGTTGTTAATTATATGTAATTAAGTACTGTTTATTGATATAGTGTTCTTGTTGCAGCTGATAGTATGGATCTGGGTTATTTTTTATTGGTCAGGCTCACAACTAATATTAATAGAATGTCATACTTTCTAGCCTAGTTGACAGTTAAACATTTCTGACTTACATTGGACTCTTATTGATGTCTGTCTCCTAAATATTTTTTCATGCCATTTAGTCACTGAAGTACGATTAGTTTTCTGATCTCGTAGACTGCTTACTTTTTGTTGTGTACAGCTCTAATCTACTTATACTCAGTGTGTACTCTGTGAACTTTAACCAACAAAAAAATATCATTAAAGATATCTACAAGCTACTGAAATGAATGCTAACAAAATGCAGTATCAATATTAAACCATGACATGAAATATATATTCTTGAAAGTTAACTCATGAGTTGAGTATCAAACCAATCTGTTTTAGGCTAGAAGTTATCACATGCTGGAAGGAGGAGCTGTACCTCTAATCTGTACCAACAAACTTCAGTATTGGAGTCCAGGAACTTTGCCAACTAACTTGCTGTTAAGTATCCTTTCTCCTGTTTGTTCTTTAATCCGTTTCTTAACAAGGTAATTTACCGTAATAGTTGTAATAATTTGATACTGTTTTTAGGACTGCTAGGTACAGCACTAAACTGCAGAGGTACATAGAGTATGCATCAGTATTGTTATTAATACTTAAGTAGCTTATAACAAGAACTTACTGTTTACAAGATATTTTTACATTTACTCTAGAGATGTCTTTAATTATCTTTTTTTCTATCAACAAGAATTGATGAAGAAAGTTCCAGTATTGACTTTATGTTGTTCCTTTTTGTTTAATATTACTTCCAAACTAGAACATGTACAACAGAAATTTATTTGGCTATTTATCAATCAAAGAGTGTAATCTTTCTAAAGTATCATCATAGATTAAGTACATTAAGTATGAAATTGGGTTAACATTACAAGTCGTAAGGTCATCTGGGCTCTCAACATTCTGACAGCTGGAGATCTTAATTTATGTACGTGTGTACTCAACCAGTTTCTTTCTTAAGACCAAATTCGCACAGTTAGGGAGAAATGAGGAGTAAGAATGTAAAGTATGTCAAATCTCAATATATTTGGCAATTATGAAGAGTAAAAAGAACTTTGTTACTTATTTAACTAACAGCAAGATGCATTTGAATTTTACTTTTTTCATTTTGTCTACTTCATAGTAAATCCATCTCATCAAAAGGTGAGTTGTACTAATAAAGTGTTACATAGAAAGATTTCATCTTGTTTCTTTTTGGTTTGGGTTTGAAGTTTTTATGATCTGCATTTTCCTACAAGGTAGGAGTGGACACTTTGACATCATCCACTTCTCCTGCAAGGTAGGAGTGGACACTTTGACATCATCCACTTCTCCTGCAAGGTAGGAGTGGATACATTGACATTATCCACTTCTCCTGCAAGGTAGGAGTGGACAATTTGACATCATCCACTTCTCTTGCAAGATAGGAGTGGCCACATTGACATCATCCACTTCTCCTGCAAGGTAGGAGTGGCCACATTGACATCATCCACTTCTCCTGCAAGGTAGGAGTGGACACTTTGACATCATCCACTTCTACACTCAGGCAGATACAGTCCATGAAAGCTTCAAATCCAGCATAGTCTGCTTGGCCAAAAATTATTTTTTTTACATGTAAATTGATAAAGAATTCATTGGCTAAGCTAATGAAAATTGGTGATTTGTAAGGAAAGGTAATGATTAATTTTAACAAATTTACCTGTACATTGAATGTAGTTTTTTTTCACTACTTTAATAGCTTAAATTGTGTGTGTTTTGTAAAATGTTATGTCAATAGTATAGCTGGGTAATTAGTGGAAATTGCTAATCAGTAAATTTTTGGGATCATTAATCGATTACATGCAATTAAAAAATTATTTTGCTGCAACACTTGAATAGTTGAAATAATTGAAAACAGTAATTTTGATTAGTTGATTATTTTCATGAGGTGTAACACTGATTGATTAAACTGAATGACTTAATTAATTTAAAAGTATGAGAAACCACGATAGCAATGTTTTGATAGTTGGAATAATTGAAAACAGTAATAATAAAAAAACTAAGTTTGATTTTGTAACATGTCACTAGTTGATGCTTATTGTAATCAAGTTAATTGCCTAGATCTTGTCAATAGTGGATGCTTATTGTAATCGAGTTAATTGCCTAGATCTTGTCAATAGTCGATGCTTATTGTAATCGAGTTAATTGCGTAGATCTTGTCAATAGTGGATGCTTATTGTAATCGAGTTAAGTGCCTAGATCTTTTCAATAGTGGATGCTTATTGTAATCGAGTTAATTGCGTAGATCTTGTCAATAGTGGATGCTTATTGTAATCGAGAAGCATCCACTATTGACAAGATCTAGGCAATTAAGACAAGATCTAGGCAATTAACTCGATTACAATAATAGTGGATGCTTATTGTAATCGAGTTATTGCCTAGATCCTGTCAATAGTCGATGCTTATTGTAATCGAGTTAATTGCCTAGATCTTGTCAATAGTGGATGCTTATTGTAATCGAGTTAATTGCCTAGATCCTGTCAATAGTCGGATGCTTATTGTAATTGAGTTAATTGCCTAGATCTTGTCAATAGTCGATGCTTATTGTAATCCAGTTAATTGCCTAGATCTTGTCAATAAGAAGAAGATTTTGTGCTTTTGATGTTTCTTAGTAGTTTTGGGGTTAAGGGAGTTATTTTTTGTCCAGAACTTAAGTGCACCTGAAAATCCATCTGTAGCC